CCTGCAATCTTAAGATATTTTTTAGAGAAAATCTGAGCGTAGTCTTCAGCCAAAATTAACTGAATCAACACATGTCTCCTATCAAAGAGTCTCACTTTCCACTTGCCTACCACTTGCCTACAAGTTTGAGATATCGTCAAAACTTTTTCTGATAAATTCCATATGTGGGTGCCCTCACTGAAATTTCCCAATAAGATCGAACATGAATTTCTCAATTAGGGTTGAAATTTTTGAATCAGAGAAAAAGAGTGTTGCTTTCTCACTCTTCCTACTTCTCTTCTTAAGAAAAGAACAATCACTCGTATCATCACGACATTCCTTATAGTTTGAGGGGAAGACAATAATAGACTCCACAAGATGATTGCCCGCCAGGTGGGCAAAGGAGGCTTTGTCAGGATCAACCGAAGAAGAAGAAAGCGCCATCAATATAAGTGTTGATCCTTCATCTGCAAATACGGATCAATTCACACAGAGGACGCCGTGAATAACAGAAGACATCGCAGAAACAGAAGACGCCGCGGACACTTTAGCGAGTAAACGATCCCGCAGAGAGGCGCACGGCACCGCCGAAGATGAGCCTCTATCGCGAGCCCTTCAGTCTGCCGCACGGACGCACTCCCGCAGAAGAAGCTGGAGAAGACGAGCCACTACGACGACGGCGTGCGAAACAGACGAAAACAAAAGGAGATCGAGCACGAGCAGTGGAGGAAAAAGAAGAGTTTGTCATAATGGCGAAACCCTAACAGAGCGATATCGAGGAAGACCCCATATATATATAGGCGTTTTTTAAAAGCCCAAAAAGGCTAATATATTAAGTAGAAAGAAAAATACAGATACAATGTGTGGGGGGGGGGGGCCAACATGGCACCCTGCCCACTAAAAAATCACAAATGGTTCCAAAATTAGAAAAAACAAAAGAATACATTAGATACTTAAATAAAAAGTCTAACAGTGCTGAAATACATAGTACCAGATGGCTAGAGAGCAACCCAATTTGGCCTTGCCTCTGTCTCTAGTTCTAAGAAAGGAGGAAGCTAGAAAGGTGGTAGCTAATAAGCTGGTAAGATGATTGTCATTGTCAGAAGTAACCAATATACCATCCAATATGTTCCCGAGCAGGAGTCGACCTCCATTCTTCTTCTTCCTCATGGAATAGACCTGTTATTCCTCTTCCAAAGAATCAGTTTGATGAGGTAGTAGAGCTGAAGTAGAAGAAATATCAATCGTAGTACCCACAATAGGTTCTAGTATATGTAAAGTATGAGTTGCCTCTACATCGGATACTTCCTGAAGAAGTAAAGCTGCGAGGCTCTCCTGATTATCAGTCTGAACACCATCATTTGTAGGTAATAGTCCATCAGTATTGTTTTCTATGGTGTTTGAAGGTGTCAACATCACATCACTCGCAATAACAGTAACAGCATTGTCATGGGGGTCCTCAGAAGCAACAGACCTCCTGTCTAATAGTATCCTCCCTAGGTGGAACTAAAATGCTCAGAACAGTGAGGTTAGACCCATCCTTATTCACTTGAACCTTAATTTTCAAATTATAAATGAACTTGTGGCATTTATCAAGGATATGACTAAACATCTTACAGTGGGTACAATACGGGGGTTTTTGTTCCATGATAATTTGTTGTTAATATCAATAGTGAGTTGTGCAAGCCAGATTTCAGTAACATCCGGTAAAGTAATATCCTTTTCCATAGGTATCCTGGTCACCAAGGGTTTGGTTAGGTTGAAAGTAGGCAGATTTAACTTCAAAGGATCCTCTAGGATGGCCCCAATAGAGTAGAAAACTTGATGGTGAAAAAAATGCAGCTTGAGACCAGGTAAACTAAACCATACTGATACAGTGGGAGTTTCATGATTTGTAGTAACTTCATAGATTTTCTTGCGATATTAAGATATTTCTTAGAAAAAATTTTGATGTAGTCTTCAGTCATTGTTAATTGGATCAGCACATGTCTCTCATTCATAACTCTCACTTTCCACTTGTCTACTGGCTTAAGATCATCTACACTCTTTTCGATAACATTCATAGGTGGGTGTCACTACTGAAATGAGTAAACTTGAATTTTTTTGTCAGGTTAGAAATTTCTGAGTTAGAGAAAAAATTGATGTTTTTTCGTCTTTCCTACTTACCTTCTTAACAAACGGACAATCATCTGTACAACCACAACATTCCTTATAACTTGAGGGGAATACCACCAACGACTCCACCTGAGGGTTTCTCACCACCTAGGCAAAGGAGGCCTTTGTCGATTCAATCAAAGAAGAAGGAAGTGTCATCAGAGCAAGGGGATGTGTCAACTTTCACCTGCAGCGAGAAGCTTGCGTCGGGCTGGAGAGAAAGACGAGCGCAGAAGCAAAACAGAAGAATTGTTGTCAGGTCGGAGAGAAGCACTGACGCAGACACGAACAGAAGAAGCATCAAAAATGAAGGAAAGAACCGTCAGGCGCGGAAAGCAGAGCCGCGGCGTCGAAATTGGACGTCGACCCAGAAAGACGAGCCGGGAAACTTGCAGCTCAACGTAGAAGCTGGCGTGAGGGAGAGACGACGAAGTCGTAGAATCCCTATGTTGTTTACGAACGTGGAAAACGAATGCAGAATTCATCGTCGAGTGAGAGAACTTTCGGAAAGCAAAAGATCATACCAGGGAATCACCATCGGGCAAAACCCTATATATATATATATATATATATAATACAAAAGTCCGAGAACAATATATTAATATGAAAAAGATACTGAAATGTTGTAAGAGAGAACCTAAAAGAAAGTCCAACTCATACAATACAACAGACACAAAACTCAGATAAAGCAAAGATACAAAAAGATTAAAAACCAAAAAGCCACAAAATAGCACAAAAGTGCTAGAGATGTGTCACTTTAGTCCTCCTACCTCTAGTTCTCGGATGTGAGCCGGCTAACAATTTGATAAGATGTGTATCATTGCTCGTAGTAACCAAAGTATCATCCATCAGATTCCTGAGCTCAAGTAGATCTTCGTTCTTCTTCTTCCTCCTAGATGTGTAGGTCTGTCATTCCTCATCCGATGACTAACTCATCTGATCAGTAGATTCCAAAGGTTGTCGGATAGGTGTAGGTCGTTGCACGTTTTGATCCCCATGAGCCTGAGTAATATTAACATCTTTCTGGACCCGATGAAGTGGTTGTGAAGCAGTAGAAGTATTTCCACCTGTATTATCAGTGATATGTTCTAGGGCAGGCGGGATCTGTAGATACTCCCTCTCCCCCACGATAGGAGGTTCCAAAGACGAGGGAGCTACAACTGAAAATTGAATGGTTGTCATATTGTCTGCCTGATCAGGAGTAGATGGAATCACAGCCTCTAGCGGAGCAATTTGCATTTTTGGTCTGAGTTTGGGGTCTGAATTTGGGGTGTAGATGATGACATTGAGAACTAAGTGTCCGAACATACGACATTTCGAACAATACGACGGAAAAGGTTCAATCTCTATCATCTGTCAATATCCAAGGTGTTGTGTGCCCAACCAGATTTCCTCAAAAGTGGGTGAAGTGATGTCTCTTTCAACAAGTACTCTGGCTTCAGAAGAATGGGACAGATTAAAAGTAGGAATGTCCGTCTTATGTGGCTTCCCATAAGCTGAGGTCCATAAGTACAATAGTTTTTGTGGAAAAATAAAAAATTTTAGATCAGGGAGACGAATCCAAACTGGAATGATTGGCGGTTCCGTCTATGGGTCAAAATCCACAGACAATTTCAGAATCTTTATTGCTCTATTATCAATACATATTATCCTTCTAGCAAATAAGCGTGTGTAATCTTCTTCGTTTCTAATTTGAATAAGAATATGTCTCCCATCTAAAAATCAAATTTTCCATTCTCCAACAAGGTGCGTGAGTTCAAATCTTTGCGAATGAGCTCCATCTTGGGATGACTATATAGAAATTTTCTAACCAAATTCAAACGACAGGAGGAAAGAAGTTGAAAACATTCAGCTTCTGTAAAATAGATGACAGACTTCTCATTCTTCCTACCATATTTCTTGGTGTCATCCGCCCACTCAAATGAATGAGGGAAAGATGATGATTTGGGTGTGCCTGAAGCGTGGACACCGGCAAGGGCAGCTTCATACGATTTGTCCGAAGTCATTCTCAAGGATAGGGGCGACGTTTAGAGAAGAAAGCAGACGAGGAAAAAAACGCGTCAAAATAGCCGAAAAGGACGACGCGGTGAGACGGGACGATCGCGAGAAGCGCGAGGTTGAACCGTAGAATACGCGAGCAGCGAGACGGGCCGCATAGAAGCATACTGGAGCGCAGAAACACTCAAGTGAGAGACGAGCCTCGTCTCAGAGCCGGAACGGGGGAGACGAAGAGCGCGAAGATGCCGACATGAAACACGCGAGCGAGAGAGAGAGAGCGAAGCCTTATTTATTGTGTTTTTATTATTTTACTACTACTTCATTTTTGAACAATATCTAAGCAAATGAACAACTCTGCAAATTTCTCATCTCTCACATATGATACTTGTTCCCTCATATGCCACAACTCAAGCAATACTTTAAAGCCTAATTAGGTAGTTTCAACATTCTATACACATAAAAAGAGGCATTCATACTTTATTTTTGCTATCGTGTTCAATCGGGTGCTTATCTAGACCGTTTCAACATTCTACACACAAAATGGACATCAACCTTTTATTTTTACCATTGCGTTCAAATGAATGCCTTACATATCACATATTGAGATCAAGAACACCCCTCAATCATATTAATATTTCAATATGTACAGCATCCAAACTGCTAAAGTGCAAATTAAACCAGATCTTGCAAGAAATGCAGCCAAGGGACTCAATAATTAATAATTTTGGTAGAAAGACACCCAAAAAAAAGAGCAATTGAAATTCTACAGAAATTTTAATTGATAAAGCTTCTATAAATTAGATTGAATCAATACAGCTTCTATAAATTAGATTGAATCAATATTGATAGCTATAAGGATATGCAAACACCTTTGAATCGTTGCTTCCATTAAGTAGCAAAGTTAAAGTCTGAAGAACATTCAGAACCAATTGTTCCCCAATTTCTTCATCAAACGTTCCATTTAGCAAAGAAACAATATGAAGAAAACACTCTCCAGCACGAAACAAAGTCTGATAATACTGCAGTAACATTTAAAATAATAAACAAAAAAGGAAAATTGTTACTAAAATCAGAAAAATTTGCCTTATTAGAAACACAAGGGATGTTCATCCAGAGGAAACTCACAGTCAGATCAATCAAAATGATTTCTCTCATGTTAATTAATAGATCAATTGATAATTCAGGATATAGTTCTTCCCTTTCCTTCGCGCGAGCGAAGGTCTCTAAATATTTAGAACATAAATGTAACCTTGCAGTTTGATCATCTGGGAGTAACGGAGGCAACTGCAGATAAGAAGTGCATCATGCATCATGATCATGAAAACTAGAAAATATACAAGATAAACAGAAAAAAGGAACATAGAAAGAGAGGAAGAGAATGTTTGAGTTAGAGATTGAGGGAGAAAAGATGAAGAGCGAGGTAAAGAAATATTATCACAACCTTAAATAATGCAAGAATATGCTCAATCACGTATTTCCTAAGGTTTTCTTCCCAAAACAAGTCAAATAAACAATCAATACAGCTAGCATTTTGCATAACCAAACTTCTCCCGTGCTCAGCAATAGAGAGATATTCGTTAAAGAGTTCCATGGATGATTGTATGCAATTAACAAAGCTCTTAGAAGCCTCAGAAGATTTGTTTCTTTCTAATTTTCTGCCTCCACATCCTACTGCAACATCCTCTTCAGCACAAAGAACAATATTGAATCTTCTGACCACTTCAGCCTGAATGCATGCAACTTTGAGCACTCTGGTTACAGCATCCAAAGACTTGAAAGAAAAAAGAGTCCGCCTAGGAGCGCACTGTAGAATCCGTTGTAGACTTGTCAAAAATATAGTTGCAAGCTTAGGAATACGAGCTGATTGCTCAAGAGCATCCACTAAAACAGAGCATTCAGGCTGCCAAGGCAGTTAAAATAAACTCAGTTATCTTAAGCTTGCTAAATAATAAATTTATAAATGTTAAATATCAATGTACACAAAACAAATTAACAGGAACGCACTGTAATAAATAACTTCAGAATTCCACAAAAAAAACACTTGTTGTTAAAACTCCATGTTGTAAACTAATACAAGAATTTTAAAGCAAATAACTGAACTTAGTATGCTAAAGAACATACAAGATAATACCCTAATCAAGTAACCTCCTCACAAAACATGAAAACAGTAAAATGTGCGCACTGTCGAATCTGTTGTAGACTTCTCAAAACTATAGTTGCGAGCTCAAGAGCATCTACAAAAACAGATCATTCAGGCTGCCAAGGCAGTTAAAAGAAACTCAGTTATCTTAAGCTTGCTAAATTATAAATTTATAAATGTTAATTACCGATGTACACAAAACATATTAGCAGGAACTCACTGTAAGAAATAACTTCAGAATTCCAAAAAATAAAACTTGTTGTTGAAACTCCATGCTCTAAACTAATACAAGAATTTCTAAGCAAATAACTGTACTTAGAATGCTAAAGTACATACAAGATAATACCCTAATCAAGTAACCTCCTCACAAAACATGAAAACAGTAAAATGTGCGCACTGTCGAATCTGTTGTAGACTTCACTAAACATAAAAAATATTCCTGATGATATGGTTAATCAAACAGAATAATTAAATCAAACATAATTAAAACAATCATATAACACAATGAAAATGAATGGCATATTGACAAGAAATTTAAAATTCACAAAAGCAACTATTGCGGTCTATATCAAGTTGATTCGGTAAAGGACAGACTGAAAATTGTTGAGTGCATGCCAGAAAAACTAATGAGAAAAGGGCTAAAAATAGACAAAGTATGGAAGATAAGAGATTCAACAGTCGAGCAACACAATAGCCAATAAGCAGCAGCCTTTACTTTTGGCAGAAAAAGGCCTATGATAGCTGCAAATAAAATTTCTTGCAGATTAATTTGCAAAAGTATGACTGTGATATATAAGGACACGATAAAAGTGGAGAGATCAAATGAAACAATAAAAGATGATCTTATTGCGCAAAAACTCAAAAGCAGAAAATAAAACTACTTGATTCCGTTTGGTGGCGATCAACTTTCATCGTCTGTTCGTCGCCCCATTTCAGCGGCTCTCAGTTGCTTAAATACATATTGAATCAGACATAACAACAGAATATTGAAAAGTAAAAAGGATTTAATACCAAATTATTCGTATTGGCGCTCAATGTTGCTACAAATTCCAAAAATGAAATAGCTTCCACTTGAAGAGTACCAACATCGTTATGTTCTGATTTATCTTCGCTGTTTATAGAGACAGCAAACGCATTCGAGTTGAGGTCTGTTCGCACTTCAAGTTCCTGCTCAAAATGTTCCAAAGATAGCCCAAAATAGAAAAACTTCTCCGAAAAAATCATGCCCCAAATTCCCTCTTCCCTAAAGACCTCAAGAAGAACTGGTGCAGAAACAAGAACCTGTCTGACCGTGCAAAGGAAGCAAAGCTGCATGGTGTTTGCTAAACCTCTGTTACAGATGCATTGTATTTTAAGAAAGATTTAGCATCGGGAAAAAAAGAATATCTACAAAAAAATGCACAAAATATGAGAATAGACATCATGATTTTTATAGGGTTTTAAGATCTAGCATCAATTATATAACTTCTTTAATTACAGTTTTCACGGATAAAAAATAGTAAATTGAATCAAATAATAATCTCAATTTAATTTTCATGAAATACCATGACTAATAATGGAGTTTTACAGCATTAATACCATATAAATAAAAAGATTAAATTGTGGTTGTGAACACCATGACATGGAAACTCCTGTAGGGCTTCTCTTATCCCTTCAGAAAATCTTAGCAAAGAAGAAGATAGCATAAACAGGAATGCATAAAGTAATTGGGCCTATCTGTCTTGATTTAAAAAAGGCTTATGGACATAGATTGTTTTTGCAAGGACGTTAATAAAAAAAAAAACATGGACAAGGCACATGCAATTTAATCCAATTTTCTCTTGATCTTTGGTTAAATACAGATATGTAAACCAATGAATTCCATCTCCTGAAAGATTTTGGTTAAATCTACAGCTACCAAAACCTCATTGAACTGCCCTCCCAAATTTAAAATTAAGTTCCTTTTAGCAAAATTAAGGTTTGTTTGGAGTAGTTGCGGTTATTTGAAGAAGTAGCTGTGAAGCTACTGAAGATGAGACTGTTGTTCAAAACACTGTTGTGGTTGTTACAAATTTTTTTTTTTTTTTTTTGAAAAGTAAGACCACAGCTTTCTAGCAGCCATCGTAGGTAGTCAGACATGGTGGGAAAATGCACATTTCAGCAGCAGCTTTCAGCAGCAGCTTTTTGAGAATGGAGGCAAAAAACAGTTTTACCAAACAAGAAAAATTATTGTAAGGTACCGCACCGCCATCCCAAACGCAGCCTAATAGGAGAACTACAGTGCAATACTTATCTTTATTAGTATACAAATCCACAAAAACTACTGAAAAAAGGGGCATTTACATAAATAGCACACAACTCTTATGTATCTAAATATCTCACTACTAAACTTACATATTTAAACACATACCACTCAAATCTTTAACATTGCATAGTAAACGGCACTATTACGATTTTTTAAATGTCAAATACACCTTTTCATGTATAGGTTTAAAGCACCAAAATGCTATGTAGGTAAATATGAAAGTTTTCGTGTGACATACGTAAATAATTAAGAACAGTGTGCTAGGTTTGTAAATTTTATAAAAAAAAATAATAATACAAGCAGTGTCCATAAAGACAGCAGTGAAAACAAACAAAATATAGAAATTTACCAAATCGAAAACCCATCCAAGCAAAAAAATTCACCTTATATGATTTGGAAGCTCCGTTCCATTAGAGCATGCCTTTATGCATGGAAAAATGGTTAGTAGAACCTTCATGATCCATTTTATTGAAAGTTCCCAATAACCCAAAGAGACCAGCATGGAACTTTTCACTGATGATTCATCATAATGAAATTTGATATCTTCAGGAGCAAGAAGGAAAGAGCAAAGTGCTCTGCTCAATCCAACAGAATAATTGTTCCACTCAATCAAATTCGAACCATCTGACATATCAAAGAAAGAGGCTATTTTTGCAATGTCAGAGTTGTCTTTTGTGGGTTGGGGGTTAACTGTTTGAGAGTCGGATGCAGCCGACCCAAAGCTCACTTGAAACTCTTGAAGCATGAAAGCAGGCCAACACACACTATTTGCAAATTTATGTATTCGTCCATTTTCACAGAGGATCTGCAAATTGTTCATGTTCCCAAAACTGCAGCACTTATTAAAGACCAACAAAAGACATGTTTTCTATTGCTAACAGAAAAACAACCAACCAACTCAGCAAAATATAAGACCTCCACAGAGAATGCAAACAACAAAATCAACCATAGATATCAAAAGAAAGAATGTTTATTGAAACATAAAAATGATTTCTTTGGATTAGCATCAAACCAATATGTAAATCACAAAGCATTAAGAAAATAAGACAAAACAGCAATTTAACAAAACAAAATAAATTTAAATACTTAAAAAAATATTAAGAACAAATCTAACCACAAATCACAAAGGTAAGCATTCTTGAAGGATACATTGATTCCCTTAGTACTCTCATGGAAATAACTTGCAGATGAAAACTTCCGAATATATAGTTTCTGCTGCATTCCAAAAACTTTATTCTTCAATTAACAGCATTAGAAATGCAAATGTAAATAAAAAAAGAAAAATAACAAGCGGAATAGATCATAAGTATACTTTTTCGGGGGATAAAATAATCTAGCACTATAAGCAACAAAAAACACATAGCGGACTTCCACTGATATTTTTAAAAACACAAGGTAAACTTATTTAGATCAATTAGCAGTTTGCATTAAGCAGAACTAAATTTGAAATTAACCTCTCAAGATTGGATTAGTCAATAAAAATGAATACGTCTTGAAAAGAATATGTGTGAACATGGCAGTTGACAAAAATTGCAGCTGAAAGATCCCGAAGATATCATTTCTGCTGAATTCCAACAAGTGTACTCTTCAAATAACACATTAAAAATGTAAAGTTTAATAACTTGAAAAAATAATGTGCGGTAGAAATCACAAGTATGTTTTTTTTTCCAAAAGGTAAAAGCATCCAGTACAATAAACAGCAAAGAAAATTATATCGTAAACTTGCATGGAAATTTGAATTTTAAAAAAACAATAAAAAAAGGTAAACTCATGCACGTCAATAAGCAGGTTGCATCAAGCAGATCTAAATTTAAAGTGCCGTTATCTAGATTGGATTAACCAAAAAATTATTATTACTCCTTCAAAAGGATTAGTGTGAAGACAGTTTTTTTTTAATCAAAATAAATCTTGCGATTTACTTAGTGTGAAGACAGTTGAAATAGCTATTTGTTCATAAAACTTTTCACATTCATTTAGAATGTGAGAGGCTCAAATTTGCAAAAAAAAATTAAAAATAAAGCCAACTCATGCATGTAAATTAGCAGGTTGCATCAAGCAAATTTAAATTTCAAGTGAACATTATCTAGACTGCATTATTCAAAAAGTATTATTAATCCTTTAAAGGATTAAAGTGAAGACCGCTGACATAACTATTTTCTCATAAAAATTTTCAGATTCATCTTGTATCTGAGAGGCTCAAATTTGCAAAGAAATTATAAAACAAAGCCAATTTATGCAGGTTCATTTAACCGGTCATATCAGTATATCCAAGTTCAAATGAATGGAAACAAGACTGGATTATCATCTGCGTTGCTTTTTGAAGTGAATGTATGTGAAAAGAAAAATGTAAATATGAGCTAGTAGCACTTCTCAGACCAAATTTGCATCTGCATCGGTCCGCCTGATTCTCAAATTATCATTTAAATAAACTCATCCACTTAATCAAACCATCTACAGGACAAAAAAAATACCATCAAAATTAATATTACGACAGCAAAAATTGGCAATGAGCTCCCAAAATAAAATAAACTATGCAAAAAGTTTAAACAAAGAAACAAAACTCTGCAAATTATTACTTCTCTAACTACCTATCATCTCCACAAAGGATGGTACCCCTAGAGTCTGAAAATTTACTTGATGGAGGACTAATTCCATCAAGCAGAACTTCCAAGCCACCAATGCTTCTGAAATGATTTTGCGCCCTGGAATTATCAAACAAGGCTAAATTTAAAGCGCCCAAAGTCAAATACTGAAGAGATAGATCAGTCCAATGCTCTTTGAAGTTCAGCCTTCTAAGGACCCGCAAAAGCTCTGTAGTGAGGAACACGAATAATAAATAAAAAGAACTACTCAAAATGAAAAAAAAAAAATTATGAATACTTCTAATTGAAAAACTATCAACATCAAATCACACTCAATAGCAAGTATAGCCAAATATAAGGGGCTACGCTTGCTTCTACAACACAAGGTAAGGCGTACTGGCAAAAGATATCCAAAAATAAACCATTCTAAAAAAGAAAAGAAGCACTACTAAAAACAATAGTTCAATCAGTAATCAACGATAAATAAATAATCAATCAGCAGAATAATAATTAACAATATTATATAAAAACATTCAGCAGGGATACAGAAACAACATGAAAGAAATCAAATTTATCTTTTATTTGAGGAAAGCAAGAATACATATAACCTCTAGGACACAAGGAGGATCAATGAACATATTTAAGATGAGAAGATCGATTTACACAGTTCCCTTGAGATAATTGATTTACACAATTAATGGTAAATATCTACTTCTTAGAATAGCAAAAGGCAGAACCTGTAAAAAGTACCTACTAAAAAAAAGCATAAAGAACAAAAATATACCCATTTCATGTCCAATAAAACTAGATAAAAATATTACTGAGATCATTAACAACTAATAAATATCTTTGAAATCCAGAGAAATAAATTAAAGGCATCTCCCCCCATGAGAAATTTTAGGGTTGCTACTCAATCAATTGATAAATATCCATGATTGTATTATAAATTTATTTAGGAAAACATTTCATTACATATTAAAGTCTGTTTGGAATAATTTTTAATTTACTTTTACTTTTATTTTTGCTTTTGCATTCAGAAACATGTTTATTCAAAGTATTTTTCAAATATTTTACATTTTTGCTTTCAAAAACAAATCAACTTGCTTTAAAAAAAAAAACTTAAAACAAATTTTTAATGTTTTAATTTAGATCAAGGAGCAATAATCATAATAGTAATTTAAACGAGTTATTGTGCATCATAACATCTAGTCAAAGGCATGAGACACGTACTCACTGACGTGAGAAGTTTGAAAATAGTAATAGAGATACGATTGATAAGGCATTAGTCTCCTTGAGAAACTTGGTAAGATTAAATATGTTATCCTTGCCAAACTTGAGCAGAGAATTGATGGGTGATGTGCATTAGCCTCCAAAATTTTTTATATTTTTATGAGATAATTGGTCCAAAGTTACTTGTAATGAAATTTAGGAGAATTTTTCCTAACATTAACCACTCCAATTAAAACTCATAATCAACATGACATTAGTAGAGTATTTAACTTATTGAAATTTGTTGCTTTAAATTTTGTCATATCTGCCCTATTGTATGCAGAAGATTAGATTTTCAATTAACATCATTTGAGTTCATTTAGATAAACATTACATTCTATACATTATTGACTCAATCCCTATACATAAATGATCGAGTTTGTTTAAGAGATGAAATTGAAAACTGTTGCATAGACAAGGAGCTTTGAGAGTTAAATTTTGTCAAATCTACCATATTGCATGCAGAGGATTACATTTTCGATGAACAACATTTTGAGTTCATTTAGATAAACATTACATTATATACAATATTGACTCAATTCCTATACATAAATGATCGAGTTTTTTTAAGAGATGAAATTGAAATCTGTTGCTTAGAAAAGGAGCTTTGAGAGTGTGCATTTTTTAAAACTTTCTTTTAGCCTTCAAAAACCTCATGCAAATGAAAGAAAAATATTTTAGCGGGATTCACGGTCAAGTATTTGATATAAATTTGTTGCATTAGATAACTAGAAAAAAAAAATTAAATCATTTCTGAAGTCAAACCTTATCAATTCCAATCTTTGTGACAAGTTGGATGAAACTTAAAAAGAAGATTTTATGACCCCATCATACAGGAACAGCAGGCAGCCCGAGAACAATGTGGCAAGAGCAGGATAGGCAATTTGGGATTCAAGAAGAGTTCGGTGAATTTCAGAATGAAAACTAGCTCTATCTAAAATCATTGCACACTTATCCAAGTGGAGTGTCATTCTAATTTGACTTATTATTAAAGCGCACAATTTAGGTTTAAGCATTGGCATATCTATCAAAACAAATGAGCAAATTTGAATTTGAAAAGTTGACGTGTTTCTCAAAATACTTACGTGTCTTTCAGTGTGTATGCACAGCTTACAAAATATTATAATTGAGTTGAATTCTAACTCGAATGTGCAAACAAATTTAAAAAAAAACAAGTTCAATTACTTTCCTAACTATTCTATTTTAAAATGCAAACAAACTTTTCATTTAAATTTCATTATTGTGCACATTCTTTCCACTCACATGTCTTAATTTGCAAATCAAACTACCTGTTAGAATTCATTTTGCATTTCAAAGACACATAATTTGTTTACACGGATCATAACTTTGCCAAAAAGGACCACATAATTTTTTTTTTTCTACTATAAATAAGCGAGTTCAATTCTTCTTCACTCTTCAGTTTATTTCAGTGTCTTCAGAGAGTTCGAGAAACAATTAGGAAGATCTGATTTTAATTCTTTTCAGTTAGTTTTGAGCATTTATTTTTATGCTATTGGGCACCTTCATCTTTAACTATTGCCAGCTACTTAGTCCTGAAGTATCACTTCCCTTGTTCACTTGAGTCCAATCAATGTAGACTCAGTGAAATTCCTAGATCTATCCAGCATAGAGGGCCTAGCGGAGTCCCACGCACCATCAAAAAATGTGCATGATCATTATCATAAGACACATTTGTCACGGCCCGACTCGGGGTTCGGAATTAACAAAGACGGGCACAGAACGGTCGAATGGTGAAAATTAAATTTTCTATATTAACTTACAATTTAACAGATGAAAGAGTCATTACAAATTAAATTACAGCAGTACAATTAAAATTACCTATTTACCAGTTGTCCCCATCGTCTATAAATATTTTCTCGTTTATTGATCATTTTTTAATAATTTAATTTAACCTGAAAATTTTATTAAAACAACTGTGAGCTAAACGAGTCGGTCAATGCTTATATTCCTAAACTATAGCAATACAAAAAAAAAGAACAATATGCATAAAGTTAAATATTTTCATAAATCAATATAAACATTTAACACGTTAATCAAAGAGTCTATATCAATATCATTTTAATATCATTTTACATCTATACAACTGTCACAAGAGACATCGTCTTAAAATTTTACCACTTAAGGCACTTCAATATCAATCTTTTTTTCATTTACACGCACGGGAATATTAGTGTTTCCCACTAGTATCATCAAGGGGTATTCCACCATAGTTAAGCATGCACATGCATGCATACTATAAATCATTTTGTTTACAATCTAAATATCATCCAATATCTTTCTTTAATAGCAGACAAGTGCAGTGAGTAAGTATAACTATGTGGATCACTGACATCCATTTCTAGATATTCAAATTGAATAACAAGACAGAATAATCATATTTTAGTTGCACTAACAAGATATCTTGGCTAACGACATTCTAATGAGAGTGACTTAGATGATAACATTATTAACATAATTTAGAAGTAAGAGTACTCATCTCGATGACGTGTAATTTGCTATTGGTCTTGACGTTGATTCTTCTAGAAATTGAAAGCCTAACATGGTATTCATGTTATTAGAAATTTAATTTATACACAGATATAATAATTTATTATTTTATTTAGACAATAAGTACAAAATTTCCATTATTATTTTCTTTTTCAAAAATCCTTATTAAATATTTTAATTAAAATTAATAAAACTTACCTTTATAAGTTTCGACCGAGCCCTAAACTCAAATGGCGACCTCGTCTCGCAAGCACGAGCTGATTCCCGCAAGCACGAGCTGATTCCCGCAAGGCTCGACCCAACCTTATGTGAAATTTTCGTCTTCCTATCAATTTCGTACGGTACTGCTCAGCTCGACAGAACTCCTCCAGTCGAACTCCAAGCGCACGCACTTCTTCTCTTCTTTGTAGACGCTCGGCTAGGGCACAATCACATGCAAGGAAGCTCCTCCTTCGTCCTCCTCTTCCTCTTCGACATGACACAGTACCAACGCTGCCTCCTCCTCTGCTTAATAGAGAAATCACTGTTCAACTCTTAAGTAAGTCTCGCCTCCCTCATAGGACAAATTCATAGCAAAACTCAACTATTCGGCTTAATATTTCTTTTCTCCCTCTCTATTCGGCTTCCCGACTCTCCCGCTTCACTTCTCTCGCTTCGGCTTCTGACACCTCGTCTCATCTTTGACTTTTTATTCCCTATTCCATTTATTTTATTTTATTTTTTAATAGAACCGTTACAACGTTTATTCGCGAGCCTAAAAATCCACTACAATATTAAAAATATGCATATGGATTTGATACCTGCATGATAATATACACAAGCCTAATAGGTTTTTCTTGTCGCGATAAGACGAAGAGCACAACAATGTATGCAATTGGCGAGGATGTAGTTGCTAATATACTATTGCAAACAGTCGACAAATTTGAAACAAGACTAATTTGTAGTGAGGCGAACATTATGAAATGTAATGAAATAGAGCATGAAACTTTTTTCCTTTTGTCCTTTAGTTCTTTGTTAGCTCTCTATTTTATAACTTTGTAACCACTTTTTTATACATGTAAAACGAGTATAGAGATAAGGGGAAAATTAGAGGGAGAGAGAGGAAAGATAATGAAAGAAAGTAATAGAATTAAAGTAAATATAGAGAGAAGTGTAGAGTCGGTGGGGAGAAAGAAAGGAACAGAGAGGAAGGCAACATACTATAATGACAGAATGGAGGTGATGGTCAAATAATCGGCACAAGCGGAGTGGAGCTCAACTAATATGAAAGCAAGGTAGGAAGATGACCGTGAGGGCATAGACTAATTTAACCTAAACCCAAATATCCCACAGACTTTTCTTCTTCACACAACAATGAATTTCTTGATGCCATGTCAGCAAGCTCTCATCATGTTTTCTTTACTATTTTATTGTGGACTTGGAGATGCAAGAGGAATGTAGTGGCTGAAATTG